AGAGAGAGAGAGAGAGAGAGAGAGCTTGGAAATGGCTGGTGAAACGCCTCATTCACCTAGTCATGTTGGTTGGGTACGAGGCGAAGACCATGGATGGCCGGCTTGTCCAATTGCTTCTGCCGGATAGGATCGGTGGAGTCAAGTGGGCGACACGTTTGGCTTGTGGAAGTAGGTGAGATATGGACCGTCGTCTCACACTGCGTCGTCTTCCTCGGTTGTAGCTTCTTCGTCTCATACCTAAACAGTAATGGCGAACCTAACGGTTGCTGGTGGTCTTCTTCACCAACCAATATGTATTAATATAAATATAAATATATAAAAGATATTATATATATATATATATATATATATATATATATATATATATATATATATTGTGTTTTTTCGAGAAGTGCTCCTATTTTCAGAATATTTTTTTTCCTAATATTTGGAAAACTCTTTTTCCTCTCTTTTCATAGGATGAATTGGTCAAGTAAAAATATTTTTACACTATGCTATATTATTTTCAGTAATGCTAAGAAAATACTATAACATAGTATAAAACATATTATTATGGATTATTGTTCATCACTGGCCTCTCTACACTTGGAGGGATATATAGAGGATTAGTTTCATGCTCTTTGGTCAATGCTTTCCCTCTGTTGAGGAATTCGGTGAGTACAATCAATGAGTCAAACACTAAGCAAATTGCATAATTCAAAGTCCATAAAAGACGGAAGAAAATGAAGAAACAATCAGTGGTAGGAGAACATATTGTGTTGTGATTCAAAGGTCATTATGGTGAGGGGAGAGAGAATATACAGCAACAGTAGCTAAGAGAAGAAAGGGCGATGCATGTCACCATAAAACAAGACACAAAACAAAGTGAATATTAGATCTCTGGGGATCATCAGCTTCAGACGCAAATGAAGTCGAGCTTTGACAGGCTTGCATGGTCCGATATGGCCATGTACCAAGAGACCGTCTCTATCAGCAACCGGAAGTAGTGAGACCCTCTTCTTCCTCCTAAGACGCCATGAGGGGTAAGGATTCCTTCTCTAATAAAAGCAAGCTAACACAAGGACCACTCGCAGGGGGCGCTTGTGGTTTGGCCTGGCGTGGAAGCATCTCTCTCTCTCTCTCTCTCTCTCTCTCTCTCTCTTTGGTGAAATCTATCAATTGATGACTTGCTATCTTCCAGCTTGTAGGTGTGGCCATGAAAGGCCGAGAATTAAGTACCCCATGGCAGATGTCTTTGTCACCCGTGGTCTGCACTTTGCAGAGGGGAGCTTCCCCAAATTAGATGTAGGCCATGCGAAATCCACTTCGAATCAGATGAACAAAGGAAATTGACGATGAACCTTTCTTTGACCGTGTAACCTGAAATGACTCCATGGGCTGAGGAGTCACTGTTCAAGCCCAGGGTAATGCTCAGATCCATTGAACCAGAAGAAGAGAGTGGATGTGGTACGATCACCATTCTCGGTGCCTCAGCTGGAGGAGGGTTGTTGACAAAAGGGAGATCAAGATCGACCAGCAACCTGCTCAGAACCTAAAAAGTCAGATGTAGAACTTGGAAGATGGAAGACGAGCATTTCAATGCCAAGATCTGTTGGTGGACACAATCTCCTCAACATTCTTAACGTAGAAGACTGTTAAGTACTTCATTAATTGAAGTCTGCATAAAGTTTGGCAAGTGTAGAATCCAGGAAAAGGAAATGGCATGTCGGATGCTTAGAACCAGGCTCGCCTGAATGAGCAAAGAGCATGCAGAAATCTAGAGCTGATGTTTGGTGAGCAAACATAATTATTAAATCGACAAATAAAATTATACACAGAGATTCAAACACTTCAGAAATGTAGCATGTCAGTGGTATTAAACTGAACTTTGATCAACCTAATGTATCTTTTAACTTATCCCATAAATACAGCCCATCAGCAGTGAGACAATACTTGAGTAGCTTTACATGTGTGTTTCTGGGAAGAACCGCAAACAAACAAATTGTACCTTCCTCGAATAGTAGATTTGCTTCAAATGTACCACCACATACATGCCAGAACTTATAATTCATTTTGTTCTCCTGCGAAACAAGGCATGAATGCAGGGCTATAGCAAGTGTACACTTGCAAACACTTACACTTCCATCCGTTGTGGCAGCCGTTCTTTGGTGTTGCTGAGGCTCAACTTTGATCGAATGATACAAGGTTCCTAGTCGATCCGTTCAAGATTATATTTCACAATTCCTTCGAGCGAGTTTCTATACTCGCTCTCAGGAAGGCACTGGAGCTTTTGGATAGCCAAATCGGCTTTCTGTTTTGCTAGTTCTTGAGCCCTACTGAGCCCACCACATTCAAGAATCAATTCTATTGCGGTGTCTAAGGAACCAGCTTCACTGAACTCGGAGTCGATAATTTCTCTGAGTTTTGGCTCCTTTTCTAGAGCAAATATAACTGGGGCAGTCAGATTCCCTTTTGCCAGGTCACTGCCCGCAGGCTTCCCCAGCTGTTCTGTTGACTGGGTGAAGTCCAAAATGTCATCGACTACCTGGAAGGAGAGACCGAGGTTCTTTCCATATTCAAACATTTGTTCGCATATACTAGTGCTGACACTGCTGAATATAGCAGCAGACTTTGCGCTTGATGCAATTAAAGATGCAGTCTTGTAGTAGCTCTTAAGCAAATAATCTTCAAGAGTAAGGTCACAATCAAAAAGGCTTGACGCTTGCTTTATTTCACCACTAGCAAAATCCTTGATAACCTGTAGCAAGATAGCAATTTAAGGAGAAAAGGCAAAGTGTATAATTAAAGAACAAAAATAAAGGGGAAAAAAAAAGAGATCTGCCTAACATACTTGACTTATGAGCTTTATGACTTCAATATTTTCAAGATTCGCAAGGTACCAAGAAGATTGTGCAAACATGAAGTCTCCTGCTAGTACAGCCACTCGCGTCCCATAAGTTTGATGAATGGTTTCTTTCCCTGAAAAATATTAACACGGTTTGAACTCAAGCAACAGAAATGTCTAAACTCAATTTGATGGTGTCAGAAAATTAACAATTATGCATATGTCTGTGGCCTTTGTCAGATTGTTCACCAACCTGACCCCATTTGTTTCATAGTTGCTGAATATTATGTCACAAATTTGCTCGGCTAGCAGAAAGTAGACTTGAGCAACCAGAGGTTCATAGCATTTTTGTGACACAACCGTATGCTATAAACCCTTTGCTCAATGTTTCATAAACTCCAACAGGAATTCAACTTTGTGGCATCTAGAAAGGTGGACATAATCAAGTCTAACATGACCAGAAACTACCATGAAAATTCACATGTAACTAGACTCTTTTAACATTTTACACATGTAAATTCTATTCATTGGTAACAATTATACTTGAATCACCAAAACTATTGTATATATAAGCTTTCTCCTTCTATGTAAAAATCTGAAGAACATAAATTTGCATCAAAAGACTTAGATCAAAGCAAATTTGGACCTGAAGTTAATGATTGCATCATGTCAATCACAAACAACCTCTTGTGTAACTGTTTCCTATCAACTCAATGTGAGTGACCTGGTCAGTAATACATTTGGTTTTTCTTACATCATTAATCCAAGTTAAACAAATTGGTTAAGACACTTGACCCAGTTCCGAGAGTGATTTACTAGCAGGAGCAGATCTAAATACTCCTGTTGCATGTCTGCCATCAACTAATAAAGGCAACATCATCAATCATCTTGCACCGGTCCCAATATTACATAGGCCGCCACTTGTATGTGCAAATAATTGTTACCATAGCCCAGCACATGTTTGATATGGTGTTTGTGTATCTTTGAATTACAGAACATATCACCCATGTATTCACTGAATTTATGCATTGCTGACATAATATTCATTCTCAGCAACAAAATATACTTGACCTTAATCACGATACCAGAAAACAGATATTCATAGTCTTATTGCAGATTGTTTGTTACATCAATTCATGAAATTGATATATCATTCATAAGAAGAGAGCCAAATGTTGTTAATGTGGAGTGGAATGACAGCCAATAAATTTGATTTATATCGCAGCTTTGCAATTGATAAGCTTTTGAATGAAGTCTTTAACTAATTCTCTCCTTTTCTCTATGATGCCACATATTCATTCAAATCATTTCTAGAAGGTTTGTGTTTAAATGCTATAGCAGAACGAAAGTGTAACTCATGTTAGTTATTATATAAAATAGTACCTCTTCGCATCCCGCTGTCGTCGAGCACATCATCATGTATTAAACTTGCTGTATGGATCATCTCTATTATCTCTGCTAGACGTCGGTGTTGCATAGTCAGTTCCCTGTTTTAGACTTTGAATAACTAAAATCATCCATGGTGGGTTTTTTCTCTCTTATTTTCTGCAGTTGATAGGTGTGGTAAGGCAAATGAAAAAACTTACCTTATGCCATCTATTTGAGCAGTGGCCCTTGACACTAGGAAGACAAGAGCTGGCCGCAGCCTCTTTCCACCAGCACCAAATATTTGTTCTGCTGCAGATATTAGAACTGGATTTTCTGCACCAATGATCTATAAGAAGGTTTATAAGTTATTTCTTGAGATATATTTAATTACGTAGAAGTACAAGCTTGTCATCAATAGAAATATAAATATCCTACTTAGGTGCTGACCAAAGCTTAACCTACAGCCACGACGATATGGTGAATATTAAGAGTTACAGCATAATCTTCTACTAAAAGAATCCCTTTAAGAACCAGCACTAGGAAATAAATCTGGAATATGCTTAGAGAAACCCAAGAAAGCACGAAACAATAAAGTAAATTGTTGGAATTAGAATGGGGAAAGAAGTGACAGACTTCTTGAGAAAGACTAAACTGAAGAAGAACACAATAAGAATCATATACAAGATGATATAAATTCAACATGAGGAAATCCTACTGTTCTAATTTCTGAACCAATTTCTAAACAGATATTTATATGAAATTAATGTTATTAATAAAAGTGAAAAATTTCAAAATGTTTCTAACTTCTACGACTGGATACACTAAATTCGTATTGATTTGTAGAGGAATCACATTTCAATGAACTAGTTTGTATTAGATGATAGGAGCATAGAAAGTGATCAGTTGCCACAATGATATCACGATATTGTACCAGGTAAATATTTAGTGTGTTCCCAAGTCTCTGAAATGTGTATCTCTGGAACACATGTTAGTAAATCTTCATAATATGAAGAAACAGATTAATATCAGAATTTATTTTATGGAGATGAGTACAACACTACTATATACTATCCAACCAACACTCAAAAGGTACTTCATCAGGAAGGAGTACTTTTATTTAATTAAGTTATACTATAGAAAAAATGATTGTATTTATTAGAACTGTCAATATTTTTCTATGAACACTAAGAAAAGGAATTTCATATCCTATGCGACCACTGAGAACTCATCTGGCAAATGTAGCCCACAGTGCATTCACATCGCATAGATGTGAAGAGATGTCAACTATTTCTACAACGACAAGCTACAGCTCCCAACTATTCAGGGTCAATGAGATGGATTCTTTCTTGGCCATGGAGCTATATCAAGAACAAGATCACTAGTTAATTTAAGGGGCATCATATCGTTTGTCAACATCTTCTGGGCCTTCCTCTACCCCATCATAGATGCAAATAAGAAATAAACTCCATATTAAAAAAACATCTTTTGGTACCATAATATCTTTTATGCCTTATCATATATCGTTTGTCAACATCTGTATCAACCAGGGTTTGCTGTACCGATGCATACCACCTGGTACGAGCGGAACATATTGGTCCGACAGGATACCGGTATGCAAACTATCTATTGTCGGGCGATACCAATCACTTGACACTGTATTGAGCAATACAGGGTCTATACCGAGCAGTAACGATCAAAATCCGATCATTATGGACTTGTACCGATCGGTAATGGTCGGATTTCGACTGTTACTGATCAAGGGTTGAGATTGCCCTATTTCAAACTGTAAATTTAACCATTTGAGGCTTAGAAAAGGATTTTTAAACCCTTTCCTCTCTCCTCTTTCAACTTATTTCACTCTCTCAATCTCTTGAACTTTTTTTTCACTTACATCTCTCTCTTATTATTACATATTCACTCTTCTAAACTCAACAAAGTTATGATTTGAGCAAATGCAACAGAGCTTACATGACATTGACATAGAGCGAAGTTCATCGTATTTGTAGCCTTCATATTATGGAGAATCTTATGGCCGGCAGTAGTACGATGACAGTTGGTCATACTTCTCTGAGTAATAATACAATGATCAATCTTATGATACAGAGCAACATATCAATAGCGAAAGTAGAAGTTCTGACATTCTCTATACTCTGAACCAATACACGCCACATTCGTTCTTGCCTTAGGAGCTGCCTCAAACACATGTGGTTCACGATGATCAGACTATGACCATCACCACATTGATGCACCAATGCATACGGTGTATTAGTACACTATGTCGTGAGATCAATTTCGGGATTGAGTCCAACAAATATATCATATTGATATACAGATACATAGGATCGAGGATCCCGATCCACCACCCGTGGAATCTCGTCGTTCTTTTTGGTGGTGGAACCAGGTACATCCATCGACTGATTACTTAATTCATTTGAATCTTAGAGTTTAAGTCATATGAAAAATAATCTAATAATTTAAATAATTTCTTTGTAGATAATTCAATATTAACGGAAGGACGATCCAGAACATATCATAAACCTATTCCTCAAATTCCAAAAAAGATATGTTGCACTATTCTATCTTAATTTACATTATTTTACTAAAATTACACTAAATTTATATTTATTTCTAACTTAAAAATTCTAATCTAACTTCTTTTATTTTTTAGATATTTTTAGAGATTTTTTAATGATTTTGGGTGTACTAATGTGTACTGTCGGTACGTCTTGGTATAAACCATACCGAGTAGGGCTCGATAAATCGATACGGACCGAAATTGCAATCCTTGGTATTAACCACTTCACCTCTGGCATATTAAAACATTTCCTTGGCCATATTCAAAGTTCAAACCATCAGAAACCAACTCCATCATTTTGGTACCATAACAAAATATATCATAGATGCAAATAAGTAGTAGTATAGAGAAAGGTTCGTCATACCACAACATACTGCCCGTGTAGTAATAATATAGAGTAAGGTTCACTGTATCGTAGCAAACCGATCCGATAGGGACTGGTATGAGTGGTAATTATCGGTTTGTCGATATGTCCCATCGTACTATGTATCGGGATGTCAGTACAGATCGGTACATACCGTACCGATGGCCGATTAGTATATTGGCATGGACCAGCGAGGGGAACCATGGTATAGAGTATAAACAACATAACAGGAAAATTTCTAGATTCCTCAACATGGTTGGGTGCCAGAAAATAACCTGCAAGTTGGTATTTTGCCACCTTCAAGCTTAAACAAAGCCAAATCAGGAGTCGAGGAGGCATGCTGCAATCGAATAGTCTTGGTTCTCCAGAAACCATAACTTCTTTTTTTTTTTGGTTTACAACTGGGCGACAGCATGTAGTAGGCCTATTTGTGAGGCAGGCTGTGTATAGGCTGCCGAATTCTTATCCTAATTCATATGCTAAAACAATATCATGGCTTGCAACGTGACCTAAAGCATAAAAACATATCATATCCTTCTCTATACAAGAAGACAATAGAGTTGTTGCTTGATTCTAAGAATAATCAAAGTTGTCTCTTCATTTTAGTGCAATGGTCATAATCGTTTCATCTTATTGCACCCAGAATGTAGACTAAAGATTGAAGTAACAAATTTCGCTCATAAGTCACGATTTTCACCATAACTATCAATTTTTTGATGTTCCAAACTATTGAGATCAAATTAAAAAGAATACATTTCTCCTGAAATTATTTGTAGCAATGGTCATAATCGTTTCATCTTATTGCACCCAGAATGTAGACTAAAGATTGAAGTAACAAATTTCGCTCATGAGTCACGCTTTTCACCATAATTATCAATTTTTTGATGTTCCAAACTATTGAGATCAAATTAAAAAGAATACATTTCTCCTGAAATTATTTGTAGCAATCCATGATTCCAGAACATTTCAGTAACACGACAAAGAACAATTGCAGAATTTACAACACTCACCGACTTTAGGTTCTCATTTAGCATCTTCATGTCGCCAGAAACCACTTCGAGCAACGAAGAAACTTGGACGCGTTCACTTCTGGATTCAGCGGTCACACTCCTGACCTCTCCTGCGCTCGGAACATCTGCGGCAAGTTCAAACACAATCACCACAACACTAACAACTCTCCACGACCAAATTAACCAAGCCAGCAAACCAAAGATACCATGTCGCGTCGTTGAGACCATGCACCGAACACCACCTCTGCGCCTCGAGCCGGACATCTGCAGCGGCCTCAGCCGCCGCCGGCCCAGACAGCCGCTTTGGCAAAGATCCACGCTCGGGCACGTCAGCGACAACATCCTCCGGGTTAAGCCCAAACAAAGCCTAAAGAACGCTCTTTTCCTTCTAATTCGGACACAAAAAGATCCCACCTTCGGCAGCGAGAAGATTTCCCCTGGGAGTGACTCAAACTTGTCCGATTAATATAGCGGGATGTGTGCGCTAAAACTTCCCACGGAACTGGGAGTTGGAGGGGGCTTTCTTTGTGAGTATTCGAAGACTCTTCACCCCAAGTGTGAGGTGGATCCATGAAATCCACACGAGTATATTTGTGAACCGGGATCTCTCTTATCGGGTACCCGTGCGAAATCAAGAGGTGTGGAGGGGATTCGGGGGCTTGCGGGCCGGTAGATCTTGCCACGAGACAGAATCAAAGGCACAATCTCATCGGAGATCTATTGGAACAGGAATGTTGTTGGGATGGCCGAACAGAGTCATTGCCGTTGACGGCCGCCCCATTTGAGGCCGTTCCATTTCCGGTCAATTCGTCATTTGTGGATTGAGATAAAAGAAAGGCGAGATGGAAGGATACTTTTGTAATGTTTCTGCGCTCATATGTTCTACATTTTATTTATTTGTTTAATTTATGTTATTTGTGGCCTTCCTTCTCTTCACCTAATTTATCTTTTTTTAAGGTAATTATGAAAGTATATGATGATTGGATAAGACCATATCACAAGCAATCATAATCGCCACATCTTTGCTTTATTATTATTATTATAAAGCTGACATGATTGTTGACATATTCTACGAATATTTCACCCAACCGAAGGCAAGGCAACATAAATATGTTAAGATAACTCAATAATATCTATAAAAATTACGAACTTATTATAAAAAAATCTGACATGAAACTATTGAAGTCTATGATGATTGGATAAGATAATATCACAAGCAATCAAAATGGTCACACCATCTTTGTATTATTTTTATTATAAACCTGACATGATTGATGACATATTCTACGAATATTTGACACAAGCGAATGCAAGGCAATATAAATATGTTAAGATAAATCAATAATATCTATAAAAATTACGAACTTGTGGCGTGTTGATGTGTGCTGTGATGGTTACCTCTTAGACTTGACTCGTAGCTCTTGGCAAATCATCATTGCAAGGTGAGACTGCTGATGAATATTTATCATGTCATCTTAAATACTGGACTCCCCACATACTTTCCTGTAATTTTACTGCAGCTATCAAATAGCCATACAGGATTAAATTATACTCATCACAATGTTTCTGTCCATCATAAAAAGGTGATCAAGTCACAAAGAACAATGTGGCTACTGCAAACTCTAGTGAGATATATGTCTTGGCTGCAGAAGAAAGTTGCAGTGGCCATATCTTGTTCCATATACAAAAACATCCTCGTTTCTTGTTCATGAAATCTTAAAAATCGGCTCTTCAAAATTCATAAAGGAAGAATGTTAACTACTAAGTCTTAAGAGGTTTACATGAACCTCCACAATATGCAATCACTGATTGTTGTTGTTGTCGTCATCATTCATGTCCTCGGTAACAAGGTTTCCCCCATCTATAGGTTGGAAAGAGATTAGGCTAGAAGGATTTTGAATGGATAATGAGAAAAATAAAGATGGTAAAATGAAAGCAAATAACCAGGTGTACCTTCATTGTCGCTAGATGCATAGGATGAGCGACGGGAACGTACTTGCTGCTGAGGTGTAGGCTATATATATATAAAACAACAGGATGCAAACTCGATTACAAAGTAACTCTACTTTCGTTTTGACATCATGATGTAATTGCATTAAAAGTATGGCTTATTATCATGTTGCAGATACCAGAATGAATTTTGATGACTAGATTGCCGCTCAACATAAAATTGTCAAAAAGGTCAGTACCTGCAACTTTGGTCGGAGTGCCTCAACTGGTCCTTTGGGCTTCTGAGCATGCCCTCCCTGCTGTAGTTATAAAACCAAGTAGAATTAGAGAAGGCCAGATCAAATTTTAAATTAAACTAGTGTTGTACATATTTAGTCTGATAATATACCTTTCCTAAAGCCCAGTCTGCTGAGTCGAAGTAAGCCCGTTCATGGTCCTAAAAAAGAATTTATCTGAACTGTTGGTTTCCAAGAATGCTTAAGAAAAACTACTTGCAGTGGTTATAAAACGACAGCAAGAAACAGTTCCAACTACGTATATGAACTTGCCTTGGATATGAGTGGTGGTTTTTTGGGTAAGATTCCTCCATACTTTTTCTTAATCGCTTCCTCCTGCAAAAGAGTTTTTCATATGACAACTATAAGTTGATACAACCTGGTCAATATGTTCCCAAGAAGCTATGGCCCAAGTACCATTTGCATGAATCTGTAGATCAAGAGAAAGGAAGTTCTAATATCACCTGTAGATCAAGAGAAAGGAAGTTCTAATATCACCTCTTGTTGAGATGATGGCATGGCATTCTCCTCATCTTGTTTCACAGGTTCATCAACATTCATTTCTGACATGATGGACTCCAGTAACCCTCAAGAAACTGCAACAGCAAAAAAGGTATAGCAAAGTAAGTAAAAATAAATATAGAAAAAAACGGATGATTTTCTTATTTTCTAAAGAGACAACATACTATGAAGATTCTAGATCAAGATGCAACTGGACTATTCAGGGCCGCACATTATAAGCAGAAAGATTGCACAAAACTAAAATTTGGAGACACTAACTGCATTCATATGCGTGGTATAGTTTCTACAGATCGACTGAAAATCTGTGAAGAAATAGTAAACACAAAGAAAAGCAGCACCTATTAGGCTATAATGGTTTCTCAAATCTACAGGTAATTGCCCTCAAATTTTGGCGAACATTTGGTATCTTAAGGCTTTTTCATTTGTCTCCAGAAGTGCTTAAAAGGGTGGTATTTTTGTCAGCGTCAAACACTAATCCTACAAAAATCCAAACAGCGATATTTTTAATAGTTAATTAGAAGCATATCTATATCGACAATGTAAAGATTGGTTTATGCCTGAAAATTTTGTCCTTCTCTGGCTCTACTTCTAACACATCTACTCTCATTCACAAGGATATAGGCATTTCAAAAAGGATTATTTCCATATGCAATGTTTTCTATGAAAATGAAGTATTTCCTCAATTCTAACATTCCGATTATGATCCACATAGACTAGCAATTATTGAGAAAGATCTTTTAGTATCCTCTAGCCATTAATGATTACATCATTCAAGAGGATAAATATGTTTTCATTGTCCTTTTTTAGAAATATGATTTAAAAGCTATTCAGTTGTATTTGAACTTCAAATGCCAATTTAAACTTAGTTCAAATGGTATAAATAATTTTGTTCAATGCAAATAAGATGAATATGAAGATATAGTTCACATCTTGGTAGAATAAAGGAGGTTACTACATCAATGCAATAGCCAGAAGAAAAGCAATGTAGCAAGAAAACCAAAGTAGAAATGGAAAAGCATAACTTAAAATAAAATAATATAAATACAACTGAAACAAAATGAAGAAAGAAGAGGGGTGCACAAACCAATTAAATATAACAGAATTAAAAAAGAACAAAAGATTATAATAGATATATGATTGAAGGTTGTCCACTAATCGATTTCTCCTATTCCCATGGATTGGAAAATTTTAATAGAATATATGATAAAGCAATCAGATTGATTGTCACGACCTTATACAAGAACTACACAGATACACAAGGTGTGCCTTTTTGGCCCTAGGTTTTTGATGACGTGCACAAGGGGCAAGCCTTATTTGTGTCAGTGGGCCTTACCTGAGAAATGGTGAATTAGGGCCTTGGTGGGTCTTATACCCTTCCACACCTTAGTCATGCCATTAACAACACTGGGTTGGTGTGTGGAATTGGTTTAGATGCACATATATGACAGTGATAAACAACTTCTCTAACTGAACTATCAATACAAGAAACAAACGGGTTTACTATGTTCACAAGCAAATAATTTATTCTAACACTATGCAGGCATCCCCAATTGGCCAATCAGAATGTTGAACTTCATTGTTGAAGTTGTTTGTGAAATGACAACTTGATCTAGATTCGAAATTAAGAAGAAAGGAAAATGAAATGATAGTGGAAGGCTGATTAATGAGGATTATATCCATCATTTTATCAAAAAACAATTATTTATAATCTAAGAAAAGAATCACCATTCCTTATGGTAAATTTGGGGCTGCACCTAACAGAGAAGAAAATGAAAGGGAGACAACCTACATTTTTTCTATAATTTTCCTGCAACAAAAAACTGACCTTTTAGACACCAACTTAGGCACGTCACAAGAAACCGTAGACTCTTGTAATACACGAGTAACGAAAAGGCCATCCACAATCCGATCAGCTCAAAACATGCCAATGAACAAGGCACGTTAATCTATCCAATGCCTATACGTCAAAAAAAGGGGTCAAAGGATAACATTTTAACAGGTAGAAAATTTTACCATTGAAAAATCACGCTACTGAGGATTGCGTGACACAAGGGACAAGAGCACGGAATGATCCAATGATTAGCGTGCCAAAATAGTTCCTCCATATCAGATGAAGTAAAGGAAACATTTTTACAAATAAATATGAGGATTACATGACAGAAGAGTCAAGTGTATGAAATGATCCTAGGGTTAACATGCAAAACATAAAAGATCATCCAGATCTCTATGATTCACGACGAGTTAACTAACCCTATTTAGTGCTATCTTACAATACCGCAACAACGAACCAACGCCGAGTTTATCCCACAATCCTGTAAGTAAATTCGTAAACGAAGGCAGAAAGACCATGTCCTGAAGAAGGGGGTTTAAAGACCAGATCGGATCATGTTTTGCGCTCGAACAGACTAGAAAAATATCCCGGACCAGCGTCATAACGCTTCTTACGAAAATGCGAGGAGCCGACCATGGAGGAGGAACAATTGCCACTTCAGTGTGGAACTTTATTTTTACCTTCTTGTGCGGAAGAGGGCTCTAAATCGACGACGATGGAGCGATTTCTGTTGTTTCTGTTCTTCTTCTTCTTCTTCTTCTTCTTCTTCCCCCACTTCCTCTCCCAAATTCCTCGATGAGATCAGAGGCCAACGGATGACGCGTACTTGAGAGCGAAAACGAGCGGTGCAAATTGGGCGGAGCTGCCTGTCTCCACCGAGACAGGGAACACAGTCTCTCCTCTGATGTCAGCAGCGGGCCCACCTCTGACGGTTATCTTTTGTAATTATGATCATGCACATAATAATATTATGATCCATATGATTAGTGTGGATGTGATTTTATTTCATTAGAAGAGTATATATACGTATAATGTACTAACTACAGAACTACTGAGTAAGCAAAACCTCCGTGTCTGGCTCGAGACAGGCGGCTAAGTCAAACCGGAGTTGCTTATCATGGAGCCGAAGTGGGCCCATAGCAACAACCTGTCGCCCGATGGCGACCGGACGATTCGTGTTCGACGCAATACGTACTTGCTATCAAATTTCTCTTACTAACCCTTTGTTTTTATGAGAAATATAGGACATAATAATAAAACAATGATTTGACGGAGGAGAGAAGGCAAGCAACCATCACCAACTCCGGCT